CCTAAGTGTAAGGAAAGATCGCAGATTGCCATATGTTGCTTAGAATGATCAGGCAAATTAAAATGCCTAGTGACTGGTTTCGATGTGTCCTTGTCATTCCTTTCCATGTCTCAAAGGTGTTCTCAGAATCGGTCACCTAGTCTTCTGCCTGTTTCGCCGATATTTCGGTCTGGTACTCTGGGAGAGGACTAAACACAACGTTACAATAATCCAGTGTAGAGAGTATAAGACTTTCCACCAGTCATTTTCTTACTTGGTATGGTGTGAAGTTTTTTAGTGTCCGTAGTACTGTTAAAGCACTGTAACACAATGACTAGAGATTTGTTATGTGTTCTTACCATGTTAGTTCCTGATCCAGATAAACTCCCAAAAGCTTGGTGCTTGAGACTTTCTCAAGTTTAGTGTCACTGCAGTATACATCTGTAGAAAAATCATTTAAAGAGTGTGCGTGCGCCAATTGTCTTGTAGAGAGAAGCATCCATTTCTTTTTTTCTGAATTCAACACCAAATTGGATGATTCAGAGTTACTACTCAGGCCTCATACTGTCTGATTAGCATCCTTTATACACACCTATTTCATGTGGCTTTGAGTGGTGAAGCAAAGTGGTATCATCTGCATATTGAAAGCATTTGCAACTCAACATTTTCTGGAGGTCTGCTACATAGATATTGAAAATTAACAGTCCTAAGATCAATCCTTGAGGGACGCCAAAGCACGTTTCCAACCGCTGAGAACACTTGTCATCTATCATTACATACTGTTGCCTGCCCATAAGATAGGAGGTCATCCAGGTTAGAAAATCCTTTGAAAGACCCATTGAGTGCATTTTATAAATAAGTGACTTGAAGTTCAAATAGACTTAACCTTACAAAGTTGTTAACGTGTTAAATATTGATACAAATGACATCATAACTAATTAAAAGAAGAACGACTTATACAATTTGAACTACTTGCAGAATCGGACATCACGTCTCGAGTATCACATTCGATGCACATACAGAAACTGTAAAAATAAAATAAAAATGCTTTAAAGTGCCCCTGAGATCAAAATTTTCATACATCACTTTTTTCCATTTTCGTGTTCAGTGTGTCTCCTTCACCTACTCTGCCAAATTTCAGGTTAGACCGAGCACCAGAAATGTCTTTTTTCGGGCGTTAAATTCACGATTTTGCGTCTGCCATCATTTGATCATGTTCTGGAAGTTGATCGCAGGACTCAGAGGAAGTGACATCAAAGGCTCAATGGAAAAATCTCACATGGCAAAATGTCAAGCAAACATAACAAAGTACTTTACTCTATTCTTCAAAAACTAAACAAAAATGACTGGGCATTGATGTGTAATTCGAAGCTGAATTAATTGTGCAGACCATGCTGCAGGTATCTCTCTGCATCAGAGCCTTGCAAATAGATCAGAGCGGGAAAAACGGATACGATTTGTGCGACCTCGCCGAGTAAACTTCAATCCTACAGAAGTATTTGTGATCTACTTGAAACACTTCTCAGAGGACTGTTTCAAGAGATCTGTGTACTTTAAAGGATCTAGGCCAAGATTTCTGTCGGATTCAGTGCCTACCGTTCAAGAAGAGAAGGGACAAGAAAAGCCATTCTCAGTGCCATCTTGATGCCGGAAAGCAAAGTCTACGAACCTCCACGGATTTTGTTACCTTTACATATGAGCTGATCAATATCCACCTTTAACAATTCTCTGGCAGAATACCTGACACAAAGGAAAGTACTCAGTGAACACTGTAAATAAGAATGATAAAATAGCCAAATTGAGGATTGAGATTTCTGACCTCAAAGTGCTCACTTTTAGACAAAAGAGATGAAAAATATAATTGTGTGCTCTGATTCTAAAAAAGGCTGAGTTTAATATCAGTGAAAGCAGAACAAAAAGCTGAAGACACAGAGCGTAAAATCACTAGTACTGTAAAATGTCGGCTTGCAGCCAAAAAAACCGAGAAAATGAAAATTTCTTTAAAAACCTGTCAAACTATCAACCATCTAAAAGCCAAGTCAGTGTGCTATGAAAGAGTCTCAAACTCATCCCAACACCCGTGGCAAACGAATTTCAAATCAGGCAAACTTTTGCGAGACTTATTCGCAAGACGAATGCACCTCCGTTACGCCTTTCACGGACAAAACAAAGAACCACTTCTGTTTCATATCAAACTGAATGCCACCAGTTCAGTCTTCTATTGCCCTTCAGAGGTACTTGGAAAGTTGTCATAATGCTACTTGCAGACTGCATCTAAGCCAAAAAATACTTTGTAACACAACGAGGTCACGGCTCTAAAAGAGTTGAAACAAACTCTTCTTTAAACTTCACCGAAGCAACACAACAATAGTCATCATGAATAAGACAGAAAAAACAAAAGAAGCCACTCAACAACAGAGTTCACTTCAAACCTCTCAAAGCACTGATAGTAAAAAACACGTAAGAAAGGGTTAGTGAGATCATTGACCAAATGCATCGGGGAAAACACATTTAGATTGCTTACAAATGGCTTTCACAAACTCCCAATATCCTCCTTCGGATACACAATTAGCCATTGCCGAAAACTATATTTACTAATCACCCGATCATTTCTTACAAAAAAGGAAATTCACTTACAACACGCAAAAATACAGTTTGAAGGCAATAAAGTGATGCAACCACAAAAGTCACATGGGGAGTCCATGCCATTCTATGTTTATCTTTATTCGCATAGCAAAAATTTATCGTTTGTCGGCACAAAACTATCCACAGAAGCTTGAGATGATTTCTGGGACAATTCATCGTCTGAAAAAGTTGACATTTCCCGACTGACAACGAAACAGTTCTCAAAAAAGTAATCTGTGTGATTCTCTGTGCAGCAAACAAAGAGAGTTGTGACAAAGCAAAGCAGAAGTTGGTTGAGCCTTTGATGTCATGATGACGTTTTTGCGGGCTCGGCTGGAACATGTTTTTAGCAATAGTGGACGGTTTTTGGACGACTTTGAAGTGGTAAAAATTGGTCATTGAGGGTTTGT